ACTTAATATCTATAATTATATGCACTTTTAAAAACTTCAAGTATATATTTATAATAGACAACCTCTAAATGATCCCAATAGGCTTGTCAAAAATTTAAAAAATCTTTGTATGGCAAAAGCCAAAATTTTAAAATCCAAGTCAAAGTAGCTGTATGTCCCAAACTATGAACTTGTACATGAAAATAATTATACCATTAAAATTATAGATACCATGAATGAAATAGGTTGATGAATTCGAAATTTAAAAATACTAGGATCCAAAAATTAGGCACACCCTTATAATTATAAATTCTAAATCCTAAACACTAACTCTTTATCTATTCAAAATAAAATATACCACTTTTTAGGTATTTAAAGGATATTTTGAAATAATAACTTACTTAATTGTCAAACATCATAATCATAACAAATGAATGGATGAAATTATAATAATTCAACTTTCATCTATATAAAACTTATTTATATATAGTCTAAATAAAATATATCATACTATTTTAGAATATCCATCTACGGCCCTACAACGTATTAAAACAAAACAAAACACTAAAGTCAAGTTGCTACAAAAGTCAGCTCTATACATACATCAAAAGTTAATTTATGCACATTTCAAAAAAATATGTATTTTTAGAAAAATCTAAAACCATCAATGGATTCTCTATGCCTTAATTATGAGGAGTAAGTTTATTCAAAATTTGAAAATAATGAGTTCTTCAATCCAAGGATTTCAAAATCAACATTAAATGTACAAAGTCAAATCCTTAATATCTTTCAAATAAAATAAGCATAAGTAAATTTTATTACACTATTAAAATTACAATCCTCAAAATTTGAAGGGAAGAAGAAGAGAGAGGAGGTAGGGAGGTAACTACCTACAAATTTCAAAATTACAAAAATATAAGAATTTATCAATCCCAAAGTCTATTATTAAAACCTTTACATCATCCAAATTGTATATTTTTTAGAAAAACTACATACACCACTATATTCACAATATTCTAAAATAAGGAGATATATCACTTTAAAATGTTGAAATTCCTTAAAAATAAAAAATTTAACTCTATCTTCAAAAATCAAAGTATTTATATCTACCAAATGGAAAAGGCACAGACCAATTTTATTGCACCATTGGAATCACAACTCTCGAAAATGGAGGAGATAGTTTAACTCAAAAACTCAAAAAAAGTATGTCAATTTTTTTTGAACACATATGTAATCCTAAATCCTAAATCCTAAAACTTTTAAATTTATAAAATAATATTAAAATAAATTAAACAAATAAAAATAGATATTAAATTTTTCTAAAGCAAATAATACAACAACCATGACAAATTGACTCCAGTATGATACGTTGTTCTTTTAGACATATTTACAGCACCATAATAATATCCTAGCATAAATAGTATTAAATCTACTTTACAGTATTGGACTTAGTTTAAGATTCATGTGGAAAATGGAATCTCTATTTAAAATGTTTCTGTTGCAAACATTCCCTGCAGTACTCCTACTTGTGAATACACAAGTACATAACATCCAAATCATTAGAACCCTACTTGCTATAAATAAATTTTCATGCCTTCTTCTTCTTCTTATTTAATGTCATATGTTTGGTCCCTTTTTTGCTATGGAAGCGTGGTTTTACAGAGATAAAGCTTGAGATTAGTGTTCTATCACATTAACTTGAAATGCTTTGTGCATTCCAAAATTTCTTTTTGAGTATGGAACAAAGAAGAACTATTGCTCTCCTCCTTGCCAAATGCTTGATTCTTGTAATTGTCAAACTTGATTTTGAGATCAAAGTTTCAAGCAAAAGTAAAGGGAGGTTTTTTGTTGTTTATAGTATGGTTGACCATGCTTAATTAGGATTGAGTGTGCCATGGCACTCATTGGTAGAAGTCATAAATGAAAGCAAAATTTGTTGTGTTTTTTTACTCCACCAATAAAACACATAGAACATTGTTTGGACTATTTTGATATGAGAAATAGAATAAACTATTGTCGATGTCTGTGTAATTAATTGTGAAAAGCAAAGTGTTTTTTAGAAGTTTTTATTTTGTGGAAATGGTATGATTTTTAAAATAATTCAAAATTTGCATAGTGAATTATTTGATAGTGGATTCATTTAACAATTCTTTATTTGCCCAATCAAGCTTATATTTACTTTTGTTTTTCTTTTTTCTATTTCAGTGTGGTGTTTTTGAAACACAAGACAAGATTATTATTGAATGTGAGAGTGTTCATTATAGTATGGAATTTTATGCAAAAAGTTATAAGAAAGAGCAAGATTTGTAAACCACCAGTTATAAAATTGGAGCACAATTGGATTGCAAAATACTATGACAATAGTGAAGTCATGCATATCTGTACTATAATGGTTGCATTAATGAATGAAAATAATTGGTTGTAACTAAAATGTGATTGCACAATTTTGAAACCTCAAAAGAAACAAAATACAATGAATTAAGACAAAAGGCCAAATATCAAAACAAATAACCACATTGTTAATAATATGAATTGTTTTATATTTTTATATTTTTGTGTTGATTGAACTGATGATGTAATTTTGATGCAAGTAGTTTTACTTATTTATTTACTTGTAATTTATAGAGATATAAATGTTTAAATGTGTGTATGTCTGAATTTAAAATTGATGAAATTAGTAACAGATGCCTGTGTGTCTACACACCACATCAATTAGTATTATCATACTAATTACAATAAAAATATTTATGTTGATTTTATTTTTTAAAAGAGTTCTAAATTTTTAAAAAATAAAAAATAAATTTATATTTTTTTTACCACGAATTCATAATAAAAAAGGGTATATTTATTCAATAAAAAAAAGAAATAACGAGGACGAAATAACACCACAAATTTAACAAACTTAAACAAACAAACAAAAAAAAAAAAAAAAAAAAAAAAAAAAACCCATCATCATGTATTATCAAGGTTTCAATTGATAATTAATAACCAGACCAAGTAGATATGAAAGTAAAAAGAAAAAACTAAAATAGATAATCTATATTTGCACATGGAATCAATCAATTTAAATTTATCAGTAATGATAGAAGCAAAAATTGGTATGTAATATATCAAAGCAACTATAAGATTTTGATTTTAAAACATAAAAAATATTCATACATCAAAGATGAATTTAATATTTATTTTTTTGAAAATTATCTGTTTGTTAATTCATAATCAAGGCTGAAATTTAATTTACATTTATGAAAATTGATGAGTATCTTTATATATATATATATATATATATATATATTCTTGAGAAAACATGCTCTATTGTAACAAAATAAGACAAAATATCTGACAGACACTAATGCCATTATTTTTATGTAAAACATATTTAAGAAACATATGTAAAAATCTATTTTATAATACATAACTTTTGTACATTCTTTAACAGTTAAATGAGTTGATTAGGTCACATACTATGCAGTTATAAAATATCATTTATCTTCAAAGTGATTGTTTACAGAAATACAAGTTATGCACAATACACTAAGAATCATGATTTTCCTATTGGCCATTTTAATGCATTGATTAGTGTTGTAATCATCTGAAACAATTATGTTTTTTTTTTAAAAAAAATAAAAAAATAAAAAATAAACTATTGAAGAAGAACACATGATATCTATTCTTGCAACACAGGAAGCAGTGAAGCTATGTTTAACTTTTTTCTTTACATACATATGTAGTAAAACCTTTAACATATCATTAGCAGTGATTATGAACTACAGTTACATGCTTTTCAAGATGAATTAAGTTTTGATGATTTCAGTATTCTTTTTTTTTATAATATTTCTGTTGTAATAATATGCTTAGATGCAGAGACAGACAAACAAACAAATCAAAGAAATCAAAACATAAAATATAAGTAAAATTTTCAATGAATAGAAAGGGGAAATCATAACATAGAATGAATTCAATGCCTTCAAAAATACCGGAAATCAAATCAAAATACAAAAATGCTTTGCATTAAAATGTAAAATCCAAAGTTTTCCAACTTGACTCCTTAAGAGATATAGTATTCTCATCCCATCAACAGGAATAGGATGCATTGGCATGCAATGTCAAGTTCACACAAGTATAGAAAGATAGATAGATAATAAATGCACTACAATCCCCATAAACAACTTTATCAATATTGTATAGATAAATGCACATACCTCCCACAAAGATGGCCAGTGGCCACCTACTGTTGCAGCCTCCCATTGTTGGTGTGACCCCCATTCAAAATGTGAATCATGATGCTCTTAATGGCTCCATGTGAGAACAGCCATCCAATGCAATTGCCCAGCTAATAAGCCTCACACACCAAAAAAACAAAAGGAAATAGGAAAAGAAAAGAGTCATCCATCCATCTGTCTGGGTGAGTAAGGGCTGCACCGTAAAATAAATTCTTTAAAATAATCATAAGAACAAGAAAAGAAAGTGAAGACATGGACAAAGACAAATCTCTCTCTCACTCTCTCTCTATTAATTCAACAAAGTAGCAGACCAAATATAAAGTTTGGATTTATTTGCTAAAATGTAAAGTTTTGGAGTTAGAAGGACAAAGCTACTTTCTTATTGTTAATGCATTTTTTTAACTTGTAGTATCAAACATGTAATTGTAGTTTATTAATTTTGTGTTCATTTGTATTCAGCTTTACTTAAAGAAAGAATAATTTTCTACATCCATTGTTCTGTATGTAATAAAGGGGAATTAGATTTTTTTTTTTTTTTACTATGTTGCACTTTAACAACCTTACATTTTTCTTGGGTTCAAAGGGGGTAAGAAACATGAAAGAAGTTCATTTGTTTAGTTTAATTTAAATAGAAATTGGAAGTAGAAAAGGAGATGAAAAGCATGTAGTTCGACATAATCATTGTTTTTCAGTCCTGGTAAAGGTTTGTTGATTTTTTTGAGAATATCTTCAGGAAAGTCGAGCATGCTGAAACTCAGTCTAACATTGTAATCTTCACTATATGAATAGCACACTGTCCACTCACATGAACGGCGGTGCACAGCTGGCAAGATTGAGAAGCCAACTCATGTGCAAACCCCTTTTGTATTACAAATAGAAAATTCGAATTTAATAAAATATCTCTACTAATGGTTGATCACAACACAAAATTACAAAACTTTCATCATCAACTCACTCGCAATGATAGGAGCTTAACTTGCAACATCAGTCATACTATGAGCAACACAAACTGCCCAGGACCTACATAACTAACGTATGAATATGCCCGAAACGAACTTAATAACTTGTATTACGATCCATATATCCTCACCTCCCCAACACGGGGTTCAGCATGTTTCACTCACTACTACTTATCGGTAACTGCCTTGACGAAGCGAACCATGTGGGCAGCTACTTCCTCAAGGTGGTCTTCCAGAACAAAATGCCCACTATCCAGCAACACAAGCTCCGCATGCGGCAGATCTCTCAGATACGCCTTCGCTCCCTCCACCCCAAAAATTGGATCGTTCTGGCCCCACACAATGAGAGCTGGAAACTGGTGCTTCCGGAATGTGGTGTGGAAGCCCGGGTAGCGCGGAAGGTTGCTTTGGTAGTCGTAGAAGAGATCGAGTTGGATCTGATCATGTCCTGATTGCTGCAGGAAGAACATGTCGTTCACCCAGTTGTCCGGCGAGATTTTGCTCACATCTTTCATGCCCGTGACGTACTGCCATTGCGTCGCCTCCAAAGTGAGAAACTCTCGCAAGGGTGCCTCTGTTTCTGGAGTTCTGTTCTTCCACATCCTGTACTTGTCCAAAACGACCAGAGAACAAAAGAGGATAAGTCACGTTAGAACAACAATCATGTGAGCAGACATATCCTACAGTATTAAAAGATGAGTTTTACATGGCTGTGGCACTGACTTGCGAAGGGGAACCCAGAAGGGGGTAAGCCCTTCCTCATACGCGTTTCCGTTCTGCACAACCAAACCGAGGATGCGCTCGGGATGAGACTCCATGAGACGCAATCCCGTCGGAGCGCCGTAGTCCATGATGTACACGAAGAAACGGGTGATTCGCAGATGCTGGATCAATTCTTCCACCGTGTTGGCCAGGTGATCGAATGAGTAGGTGAAGTTTGTTGCAGGGGGCGACTCGGTGAAGCCGAACCCAGGCAGATCGGGGGCCACGACGTGCATCTCAGAAGCCAGCAGCGGGATCAGGCGTCGGAACATGTGCGACGACGTGGGAAACCCGTGGAGTAGCACCATGGTAGGTTTGCTTGGGTCGCCGGCTTCTCTGTAGAAAACTTTGAGCTCCGAGAGCTGGACATGCCGGTGCTGAACTTCGACCGGCATTGATTGATTTAACAGATCCTCTGTTCCTCACGAATTTGTACCTGCAAAAGAGCGCACAATGTGTTCGTCACGAAATCTGCGCACATGCCCTCTTCATCTTCCTACCGCTCAGCTCATGTTCTCAAAAAATTGTATTTCATTCTGTTATCAATTTCAAGTCTACCGCACCCTCTAGAAGCGCACAAAGACAGCAGAATTCAATACGAAACCATGCGCCATGACCATTACCTAGTGCAAGATCTCTCAGCAATTGAAAACATGTTCAAGTTATACAATTTGGAGACTCAGTGTTAAATGGTCAGAATGAGGAATCACGAGTGCCATCGTGATGAGTGGAGAGGAAACTACGTCATCTGCTTCGGGGATACCCTTTTCGATCCTATCTTGGTGCTATGCCCAGCATCCAAGAAGCGTCACTCGATTATCTCACAACAACGAGGTCCGTATGTCTCGGATTCAGTTCTCCTGTTCACCGACGGTGATTCTGAAGCGCTTTGCCCGAAACTTACCTAAACCCCTAAACCTGCTCATACGTCATGCTACAATGCTGAGGAAAAGCGGTAATTAAACAAGTTCGGGTCAAGCCAACACGGAGAATATCTAATGAATTATCCGTCATGTGACGTCATCACTGGACAAAAGTGGACGCCATTGACGAAAAGCCTTAATCATCCAAAGTGGAATCTTTCAGTGGTTCGTGCCAATGATTCTCTCCGAAGGAAATCATCAAACTTGGATGAAGTCACTCAGAGGCAACTGAGGGGCGTGAAAGACCAATCGCGGTCGTGATGTTGGATATAATGTAATTGATGTGCATGAGATTGCTTGGATGATTGTTGATGGTGCAGCGTCACTACAGAATTGTATTCTCGGGTTCAGCTGCACTTTAGTTGTTAGTTAGTCAGGATGGGATCGTGGAAATCACCAACCATCAAATCCTCGCACACTGTGTTGATATGTCCTGCATCGCCCACTGCGCCAGATGAGCGGCATCTCGCGCTTACCAATCTGGATCGTAATGAGACGCGGATTTTCACGCCCGCGATTCTGTTGTATGCGGCACCGGCGAATTTGGACTTGCAGACGGTAGTTGCGAGCTTGAAAGAGTCGTTGCGGAAGACTTTGGTGGAGTACTATCCCTTCGCTGGGCGTTTCACCAAGGGGGAAGATGGATTGGAAGAGGTGCTGTGCAATGACGCGGGAGCATTTTTCACGGAGGCGGTTGTGGAGGAGACTTTGGAAGAGATTGGGGGCTTCGAAGGTTGTGTAATGCTGTCGGGTATGGAGGCCGCAGGTCTGAGGAGCATGGGATTTCATTCTCTGGACGAGTATGAAGAGATTCCTCCTCTTGTCATCCAGGTGAGCTACTCTTCTTCCATTCTTTGTTATCGTAAACCCTAGTCTCCAAGCCCTAAGCACACAGCAATCGAAGCACATTTCTGAATGAAAGACTTTGGGTCTCTACATTTGTTGCCGGTTGCCTCAGCAGCTTGTATTCAATGCAATCTTGTAGATGCGCCGTGGAACAAGACCTTGCTTTTAGAATTCATGAAAAAGATACGATTTTATTCTGTCTCACAATCCTAGAACAGTCTGTCTTGTGAGTAGGGACGGAAATTGGTGGTTGATAGCACTTAAACTTCGAGGATTATGAATCTTTGATGTGTGGTTGGATCAGGTCACATCTTTCAAGTGCCAGTCGATAGCGTTGGCGGTGAATTGGTATCATATGGTTTGTGATGGTTTCGCGGGCATGACTTTCTTGAAGGCGTGGTCTGAATTGGCAAGAGGGCTACCCATCACCTCTCTTCCTGACCATCGGTGAGGTTTTTGGGTTTGAATCCTCACCTTTACCAGAATCATGTGTAGCTAGAATTGTTGAACAGTGGGCTCAGTTCAGGACCAATTTTGTTGTTCAGGTCAGTACTTGTGTCCCCTCTCCTGTTGATACCGTTGGACAAAAATCACATTTGCAAGCGCCGTCTCAACAGTTTATCTTCCCTGTACTCGAATATGAAATTCTAAAGTTCCCAATCCTGCGTTCAAATTCAGACGCCATTTGCTGGCAGCTCGAGTACCACCGCAGCCGCTCGGCGAAGTTCCTACTGGATTTGAGTTGCTGTCTGCGAAGCCTGAGGAGCAAGAGTCCGTGGCAGATTCTGAAGTAGATGAAAAAAAGCCCTGCAAGAAAGTGGAGTTTATACTCTCCGAAAAAGATATAAAGCAACTTAAGAAACAAGCTTCAGGCGCATTTACCTCTGGCGAGTGCATTTCAGCTCATCTGTGGAAGCTCGTCACCAAAGCCAGAGGATTGAGCAGGGAAGACACCACCACCATTTTCACCGTTGTCGATGCAAGAAAGAGGATAAAAGATTTTCCTTTGAACTACTTCGGTAACTGCGTTTTTGCTAGGAGATCGGACTGTACAGTGGGGGATGTCTTGGACAGGCCTCTGGGTCATCTTGCTCAGCTTATCCATGATTCTGTGTCTGGCGTTACGGATGAGTATGTGAGGTCGGTTGTGGATTATATTGAGGTCACAGGAGCTTCAAACCTTGCGTGGTCTCGACAGAGGATCACTACACACAATCTGCAGCCAACGTTTTGGAGGTTTTTCCCAATTTATGAGCTAGATTTTGGGTTCGGGGTACCAACGTATGGAGGTAGAAATAGTCCCATTGAAGGATCTACAGGCTTTGCTGGAGTGATTCCCACTCCTACCACTTCCAGAGATGGGTCTGTTCTGATAAATGTGTTTCTCTTCCAGGAGGCGGCAGATAATCTTGCAGCAACGCTGGGAGTACAGTGTTCATTTGCTGCACAAGCACATGGATAATCAACATTTGAAGTTTAGCATTGTAACGTATCTTTCTCGATTTCTAATTGTAATGGAACATTGATAATGGAGTTACGGTGGTGTAGAGCTATTTTGAGTTAGCTTTTTTGGCAAATCTTTCCATTAACATCTCTGTCCACTCCACAATGGTTCCTGACTCCATAACTGCAGTATCATCACCATCATAACCAACAGTTTCCTGTGTGTCGACAGCTGATACGACTTCTGTGGCATCGTCATTTCCATTACGCATGTTACACCAGAAATTCAATACATATGTTCTTTTCAAGTATCTATCGCTGTTGTATCAGTCTGTGCTTCAAGCCAAGATCACGGCAACAGGCCAGCCTAAGTAACGCAGATTCTCAGGGACTTTCACAAACAAGTACACGAAACCTACGACACAAGTACTTCAAAATGAACTAGCAATTTTGCTAAGATTGCAAACATTATTATATCAAGAATAATTGACAGGCGAATATGACAATTTTCGAATATTTACAAATCTTCTATAGAGGAATGACTTTTGTTGGTCTCCTTGAACATGAGAAGAGGTCTTTTAGTCTTTCGTTTTAGATGCCCTAGAGCCTGTTAGCACCTTGAAGAGCTGTGTGAGCACCTTAAGAAACGGGTCTGCATGGTCACTGTCTGGTTTTTATTCAACCAGTCCAAAATATGCTCATTCACCATCAATCTATCAGTTCCTCGAAGGGCAAGAGCAGAGATGAAAGGTGCAGTACCACTGGCATCTTGCACGAGGCAAAGCGACGTTTCGTTCCTATCCCCAATCTGGAATGTCACCTCTCGTAGAACTGTATCTTATACACTTAATATTTAGACATTCTCGAATATTGTAGAATCCAAGACTAACTGGAAGCTCGGCAGAGTCATGGAGTTGTCGCAGCTTCCGTGGTAGAATCATGCTCTCATACTGTAAACTTGCCTTGGATTTTCGGGAATTGTGAAGCAATTCTTGGCACGAGATTCACCACTGAAGTAGCGAAGAGTCTGCATCTCTGACCAGAGGACTTTCAGGTTGCTCCCGATTTTTCCAGTTGACACGAAAGCATTATGTGGAGACCATATTATGGAATAATTATCTGTGTTCTGATCTTCAGCGCCACATTCGAGGTAGAAAAAGTCTACCAATTTGAAACAAGACAAGCGTGGATACCTTAGAAGACTTCACGGCAGAAGGAAGAAATTGCAGCGGGGAATCGAAAAATATATCACACCAACAAATGGGCCAAGAAACAATGCCACCAAAACATTCCTCTCTTTAGAGCAAAGTAGCATGCATGTTCTGCTCGAGTTGCGGACAGTTATTTTCGCTGAGGACATGATAGGGAAAGCACCCGTTCATGGCTACAAGGGAGGAATGCTGCCATGATACTCTTCAAAGTCCATTCAATTGCAACTTGTTTAGGAGTACGTGGTCCCTAAATTGCGTGGGAGTTACCACACCCCCTCTCAGGATGTGGTAATTGCTTTTCATCCTCACACATGAAACAGAGAGTCCTTCAGAGTGCTTGAGCATTGGCAACCATGGGCTTCAAGTATTTTTGTGAACTGTGTGTATTCGTATCTTTGCTCATCTAGCAACAACTTGTCAGATGGACTTGCAACATCTTCTCTATGAAGAGGAGACATTCACCATCCGTCATCGTCGGGCCAAGAGTCACAATAGACTTCTATGATTTCATGCATTGATCCTCCAACCGCATATAGGATTTAGGGACCTTTGTTATAAAAAGCATTTATTTTTTGAAATTGTTAAAAACCATTATAAGTCATTTAATTTTACATCATTGCTATCAAAAAATATTAAATATATTATAGAAGTATTAGGTTCTTCATGCACATAGCATTAAATTATATGCATTGTAATTGTAGTAAAATAATTATCTATTCTTTTTTAAGTGTGTCATTGGTTTACATGTACTTGTGATTTAAAGTACAACATAGTATTGTATTTGCATTTTACAATACAAACAATTTACGTGGTTGTTTATTTAGTTAAAATCTATAAATATTAATTTGAGATTTTTTAATAAGTTAGAGACATCTTTTTTTTAGGAAACCAACAAAATTCTGTAATGTTTACAAATTAAAAATAAAATAAAATCCTGTTGACTTTATGGTAGGTTGCAAATTTTATTAATAATCCAATTGGTAGAACTTTGTATTTAGTTTTTATTCAAGACGCTTTGGAATTACTAAATTTTTATAATTTGTAATTTCGTATTAGGTAAAAATCATAAAAATAATCATCTGAAGGACTTTAAAATAAAAATAAATAAATGTAAACAATGTAAGGTAGAGCTTTTTATAAATAAACATAATGATTTCAAATATCAAATAAGTCTGTTTTTTTTCTTGGTTTAAAGAAAGACAATAGAATTGTAGCTATTAAACATGGATGTTTGGCAAAAATATAATTTACGATTTTTTTTAAAAAAAGTATCATTTTGCAGTTCTTATTTTAAAATGGTATACAAATAACAAAGTATAACTATTGTACATAAATTTCTGATGTAAACTTTTTTATCAATTTTCAAATTGTTTGTTTTGGATTTACTTCAAGACTTTAATTTAATTCTCTTATCCATCGTGGGTGTACTTGTCCATGTTTGGTTGTGTTTGGTTGTGATGAATAATTTCATACAAATCATTTTAGATTCTATGGAATCATATTTTCACCTGCATTCCAAAAACGTGAGTCATCATTCTTTTGTATTTCGTTCAAGAGCCAGAGAAAAAGAAAAAGAAAGTCAGATATTGAAGTTTCACTCATTCTCAAATAGGCAATAGTAATGAAGAGTGAAAAACACACAATTTCAGTAAGTTTTAAAGAATGAAGATGAGATACGAAAAAATTATACCTCCGACGTGACACTTGAACGAACATGGTCATTTAAGGGATTTGAGCGCTTAGTGGAGCATGGAATAACTACGAATTCTAAGTTTGGAACACTTCTTAAGCCGTCAATACTAGTTAGTAACACACAAGTTGATTACAGCAAGGCTGCCAGTAAGAACTGGGGCTGCAGTGATAGCATATTTGTAAAGTTCGCATAAATCTGAGGAAAGAGTCCAAGCATGAATCTCTTAGTTGATCGTATACGCACTACCAATTCTAACATAATCCCCAATGTTTTAGCATCCAACAAGCCGTTGATCCACAATGTTATCAAAACTACATACCACTGTCCTGGTCAGGTGCACTAGCTCGGAAAACTTTTAGACGCAGACAAGCAAATTCGGCCGTCTAAAATATGCCGCCACTCAAGCCTGAGGCTAGATTCGCATTTCACAACAGTAGACACGGACGGCAATACCAGAAGGCGACCTGCTTTTAAACTATCTGAGATGTATGATATCCATGCTCTATCAGACGCCCTAATACTTCTAATCTCTCACTCTAAGACTAGCATGTGCAATAAGGAACCTCCATCACTGACAACACATTAAATGAAAACAACAAAATACTCAAACCATTGTGTAGTCTACATTTCTTGGCTACCAGATCAGGATTAAGTGCTAGGTGAACCAACGTTAATAAATCAAGGATAGGGTTGACGGTATCGGCAGCAACTGAAACGATATCTGCATAGGACAACTACAGAAGCACTAGCCCCATCTCAGTAGGTTTCAGCGGTGCTCGAAGTCGGTAGTTGTAAAGGTAATAATGTAGCTGACCATCACCAGGCCCAAATTTCAACTCCTTCAGAAATGTCTCGTTGTGCATGACATCTAGTGCATTGAACACGTCGTAATCCCTCTGCTTGGCCATGACAAGGACGTCGTTCATGAGTTGTAGAAGCGGAATCGACGTAGCCACATTGTAGTAGGAGTATGCTGCCTTCAGCAACGAATAATTCTGATTTCCAATAATAGTGGACGGAAGTGCGTAAAAACTACCAAAATCTGTGATTTCATGAGTCTCTGAATTCTCCACAACAAAGCTATTGATGACGTTGTCGATGGGAAGGAGCAGATATTCAACATCGTCCTCGGAAAAATGTGGAGCGACCTGGAACTGCGCAAGATAGGTCTGCAAAAGCTTCGTCACTGCCACAACATCCCTTCGTTCCATAGGTCTGAATCCTGGAGTAGTTGCCTCCTCAGGTAATCGATAGAGTTTAATAGTCCGACTCATCGTCATGCGAGGTGCCAACCTCGAGAACCCCACTTCAATTAGTTTCTTGGGATTCAAAGGCCTGTGCCAGTACTGGCAAGTGGCAATAGGAGTAGGAAGAACCACACCCGCCGTGTATGCTGCCTGCCACATATTCTCCAAGTGAACCCGCCTCGTGACCTCTTTAATCAATACAGGGGCAAGCCGTTTTGATCTGAGTTTCTTGTGCACACATAAGAAGTTGATTTCCGCCATTGGCACGACCGTTTCATGCGAACGAATCCTTGCAGGAATTCCCGTGATGAAAGCAACAAGTTTCTTTGAGCTCTTAGCACGAACGCCTATATGCCAACTCGGAAAGTAGCCTGGAGGAGTGAGCGCCCACCGCAAAAATGCGACCGAGTAGTCAAACCGAAACATGTTATCATCGTCCTCTACGTAGTTATTAGTCAATAGGGTATAAACCTCCTTTATAGTCTGTTCGTCTTTGAGATCGCACGTGGACCATTCGTATGTGCTAGGAAGGTTATAGGGCTCCTGGCGGACCTCGGAGACAGGTTGCGCAGGTTCAATCGGACCCTCGCCCAAACCATCCTGGTAATTGCCGACGGGCTGGGTCTCCCAAAACAAATGCCGCCTCTCATTCTCTAACGCTGCACCTTTCTGAAAATTACTTGTCACAGTTTCCACACTGGCAGGACGACCCATCGCCATGAGGCTGCCATCCTTGGACGAAACAGAGGGTTCGTTCGAACTCTCTGCATTCGCAGTCTTGTTGCCGGAACCCACCATACTCGGTCAGCCGCAATCAGAGGGGATCTGCGCACTCAATCAGCTCGTGGAGTCCCGTGGCTTCGCTATTGATGATGCAACGATGCTACCAGTGGGGAATCAAGCATGACGCAAGCGGAAGAAAACACCTAAAAACAACAAAAAAATCCCAGACATTAGACGAGAAGAGAACACCACGAGATATGATGACCTAACTCAGGAGTTGAGCGAGAAAGAAGGGATTTTTAGGGTTGCAAAACGGAGAGGAGAGGGAATGCGAGGAAGAAATGTGGAGGAAGGTGACTTACATGGCAGCAGTAGTGCAGGTAGAGGGGAATGAAGAAAGAGGGGCATGGGGAGAGGAGGAAACAGGGCGAAGAGGCAGATGAAATGCAAGAGGTGCATGTGAAACGAGAAGCACCTCAGAACGCTCCAGAAACGAGATACGGACAAATGTACATATACGAAGAGCAGCAGCAGCGGAAGGGGAGGGGCACTCAGCAAGCAAGCTCAACAGCAGCCGTGGCAGGGATGGAGGGGGGGGGGGGCTATGAGCTGCTCAGTTGGGACCGAGCGACGACGACGACGACGAAGACCCCGCTCCTGGTCGTCCCCTCACTCTCAAGGGAAGTGCGTGCAGCTAAGTGAGCTCTGCTGCTACCACTCTCACTGGGTGCGGGTGGGGGTGAAGGTGGGGGACTCAGCCCTAAACCTAGTCCATACATACACTTCCTCTTTTATTCACTTCTCTGTTGATACTGTTACTAAAACCTTTTTCTTTTTGCCTTCTGCTAATCATTTTTCAACTATCAATCGTCTTTTTCTAAAGCAAAGATGTGCCATTGTCTCAGCCAATTCTCAACCGTTAATGAGGTGTTAAAACGAAGAACCGGGGAAAGTTTGTGATATAATCCATTGAATTAGAGGCAAAATTATATAAATATAATATAACATAAATAAAACACTGTTTATATATATATATATATATATATATATAAATAGATGCTGTATTTCTGATTCTTTTGTTACGGATTATGAATCTCACAATACCAAAAACTTTACAATATTTATGACATTAAATGCCATAAAGAAAAAAATTCTGTACACTAATATTTACATATTGTACAATTCAAAATCATGACTGGCAGGAAAATCATGGATGCATATATATATATATGTAAATATACAAATACAGGGAGATATATCAATTTTAAATTTTAATAAAAACATAATGACTATTATTGTAAAATGTTTACAATAAAAGTATGTTTACTAATTCAAATTACTGAAAAAAAGAATTTGCATTTTTCAGATTTTAAAAATTTGTGATTTTTAAGTCAGTACGCACTGCTTAAATTGAAACAAGCTATCATAAGCTCAACATCAAAAGAAAACACAGGTAAATAGAATCTGTATCCCAATAGCATAAAATTAAACATGAATTGTCAAGCCCTCTTTGACAATCTCATTTATGTTCATTATATGTGCTAGAGTGATGCACATTGCTTTTGCTTTATGTTTTGTTTTGCAATGAAGTTCACAAGATATTACATATTTTATTCATTTGGAATAACCAAGATGATATCATCAAAAACGCTACAGAGCTAATTTTGCCACCTCATACAACTCTACATGCACAGAGCATTAAGAACAAACATCAAACGCAAATAGCATCACCGCACACAAGTCCAACTTTAATCAAAGCAAAAAATGAACCATTGTAAGCTTGGTTGCGGGACAAGATTGCAACTGTGTTCAGTGCATCACAGATGGTCTGGAGGAGAACGAGGAGCCGCAAGGGATGAACGAGGCACACAGAAAGCATTGGATTCTAATAGCGCTAGGAGGATGCGGAGAGACAGCAATCAATATCAACCCAGTAGAGCTCCGAAGTTTTTTCATAGTAGTGTAATCAAGAATCTGCATTCTAAACCAATGCATAACTTATTGAATTTGTCATTTGTATTCATCCATGTTTGTCACTCTTCTGTAGTTTCTTCTATCAATTCACTGTTTCATCGCATGTTATTCTTAAACTTCACAGTTGCTAAAATACAATCTTGTTAATCACTTAGACACATTCATTACTTTTGGTTAAGTTTATTGTTTTTGTTGGTGAAAACACGCTTTACTAAGTAATGTCTAACTTCCAATAAGGAGAAGACTAAACTAAATACATGACAACTATGAGAGAGACGAACACCTAGTGGTATTTAGATTATTAGAAAGATCAACAACAATTCTTAATTTGAAGAGGCACAAGATCTAAGTTTCTTACATCTAAGATCTAGCCATACTTACATAAAGTCACTACAGTCATAGGCCAAGGAACACTGTTAATGTCTTGGTTTTTCAATGCCAAACATAACTAAAGGCTTGCTTAGTTTTTACGTCTACTTAATAGAAAGAGCACTATCACTTCCTTTCGAGGCCTTAAGTAGACAATATAGTCTAAGCACTGAGTTATGGAAAAAGATACATCATTGATTGCAATAGTGATCTAAGTATAGGCCTATTCTAGTTGTGATCTTGAAACCTACCTTCAAAATGGTCAAAACAATCCGAATACTGGTTACAGAAGGCTCGTCTAGATATTGGTGACCTAACCCATTTAAAAGCTATCCATTAAATATCTTGTAAAGGAAATGAACTGTAATACAGTATCACAAAGTAAATGAAGTGAAAGAAGACTAGGCATGGAGAACTACATATATTAACTTCATGTGGAAAATGCTCAAGAAAATGTACTTGGACGCCTAATTTTAGGATGTAATCGATCTCACAGAATATAGTTCTGAAAACCATTTCAAGATCACGTTTACATTTAGACGCGTTAACATACAACTTGAACCACTCTTAGTCCCCTTGTGTGGAAGGACTCGTTTGGGTCCCAGTAATATACCAAATCATTCACAAACGGAACCGTATAAATTCTTAGTCCATAAATGCATTCTTGTGTAATGGGACCGTAGCCTACAAAATGTACGAATGAAGGAATTAGGACCAGTACAAGGACTGAATACCATCATATTCCTCTTAAATTATAGCACCAATTCCAAAAATGTGATTTCTCATAGAATGTTTTTACCTGGTTCCGTATGACAATTACTTTCAGGTGTAGAAAAAAAGAGCTTGTACCATCCTGATATAAATCCTCAAAAAAGAAAACTAACCAAAACCCTCCCGCCTCCAGCACACCTACAACGCTCTAATGCCATCAAGGAATAACAAGGAATAACTGCATACTTCGGATAACTAGCATCCAAAGTCCGGTTGATTGAAGCCAGAGCCTTTCAACAGTATCCACTACAATTCTTTTACCAGAGTAACCCATTTTCCATTCACCTCAAATTTGGAGGAGGCACTCAACTGCACCAAGTATAACCAGACGCATAATTAAAGTTAAATTCCAATAGCAAGAGGCATCAAGTTGTTCAAAAAAAAAGAAGTGCTTCAGCAGGAGGACCAAGTAAATGCAATCTAACTCGGAAAAGCTGACTATAATAGCATGCTCAACAAGAGACAGATAGCAAGAATATAACGAGGAGCAGACGAATACGAAAGTAGACAATAACAAGAAAAGTACCGTTGTAATCAGCTGTTTTTCTAGCGCCTTCTTGTCCGATTCCTCTGCTACCGATGTATCCGATGGTAGGAGCTCTTTCATCAACTCCTTTATTTTCATACGTTTATCTGAAACCTGCAGATTCAACGAATAGTTCTTAACACCACGGTCACACGTGATACTGGGAAGTTATTAAAGCGCACTCGGAGGCAGTCAGATCCTAACATGTGAGGATCCAATTCGAGCTGCAACATAAGACACATTGAGATGCTCGAACTGTTTTCAGTTCCTACAAAAAAAACAAGAACAAAAAGCGATGGTTTCCAAGGGCACATTTACCTTCAAAAGGGCTTTGGTTGCAAGCTTTTTCCATTTGATAGGTTTGCCATTGCGGACTGTACCTGCAGCAGAATCCTTAACCTCTGACTTGTTCCCATCACCATTCTTGATACTTGCATCTTCCTTCACCACGGCATCCACGACTACATCACCATTCCCATCCTTCTTTTTTAGTATAGCTACTTCCTTTTCTCTTTCATTAACGACAAGAACTGTGCGTTGCATAGAAATCACAACACTACTGCATCAGAAACAATAAGTTGAAGAAACAAACACGTGACTGCTTAGTGAACAAGGTTAAGAATTTAAAGATTTAGGAAATTTTCAGCGGCATGATGATACTTGCTTAAATACTGGACTTATTACTCCTCACGTTTGCAATTTCTGATTTTCTCACAACACTTCCAGCCACACACCAGATCGGCCAAGTGATTCAAACCTACCCGTAACTTACGGTTATAACATAATTACCTTTTCTTCGCTTCTTAGGATTCTGCTCCTTCCCTTCGGCACTAGGTAACAAATTACCATTTACAACTGGTTTAAAATCATTTGTTTCCGATGCTGCTTTGGATACAGAGCCATTTGATTGCGAATTTGGTGTAGTACAGTCCTGCTCAGTTTCTGCCTTGATCTTTGCTTGTGCAGCCTTAGCCTTAGCGCGGTGCTTTTTCCCCTGAGAGTGCCCCTCTAATGTCTCGTAGCTTGTGGCATTAACTTTACATAAACTACATTCACATGTAGAAGCAAAAACTAGCTAATTAGAAAATCTCATGTCAGCTAACTTCCACAAAAAGAAATCTAAGAAACGCAAATAGGCACGTACGAGCCTTTTATCTGGACCGATTCCAACTAACTAAAAACAAATTGAATGAACACTTACAACTAAATTTGAAAACTTGAAGAGGCAAGACGTTTCCAATCGACAACTTTGTGAGTCTTAAATTCTCAATATTAACAGCAGCGGCTGAAAGAAAAGCAGTGAAATTCAGGAAGTAAAAAGAGAGATTTAAACCTGCAGTTCCAAGGAGGACTAGTGGACAATCCGATGCTTAGGTCCACTTCGCCAGCTTTGACCGCTTGTGAACTTTTGGGTTTTTGAGCAGAACCATTACTACCATCTTTCGGTCCATACTTCTCCTGCAGTTATCCGCACTCAATACCTTGCTAAAAACGTATGTGACTCAGGACATCTCCTTTCCAGTCCTTTACAACAACCTAGTAGAGCGAACTGGTGGAAGATCTTTCAGATGAACATGTTTGGTGTAAGACTTTACTTGTTGAGATCCCACCACAATTTGGTCGGAAGGGACTGAAATCCAAAAGAGCAAAGGTATAGAGGAAGCTATCAATGCAGCAGCTCTGATGCTACTTGCGCAATCCACAATAGCAGTTTACATTATTATTTTTAAATAAATTGAAATAGAAAGCAAGTGCAACTAGATTCTTACAGTTTCCGTAACGCAAGAGGTATGCACTTGGACGCTTTGCTGGTCGAAGACAACCCCACAGTCGATACAAGATAACTACGAGCAGAACAAAATATACGCAGGTGAGAACAAATTCCATGAAGAAATCAAATGCGATTGCAGATGTTGCGCTACAATCTCATAAATTATGAGAGGGCATTGAAAAGAAGTCCCGGGCTGCATGAGGGAGGAAGGAAGAAAGAGAAGCACCTTCCGAGCAGCACAGCCACGGAAGTGACCTTGAAGCTTGGGCTTCTTCAGGTTCTCACCGCAACTCTCACACTGAAACCAAACCATGATCCAATTCGGGTCAAGTTCGGTGAAAGGAGTGACCGGGGGAGTGAGACACAGAGATAGAAGCAGAAGAAGAGGAAGGACGAGAGGTGAAGGCGGGAGAGGAGAGGAGAGGAGAAGAGGGATCACCTGATGCAAATCCACTCTCCTTCTCCGCCGACACCGCAGCAGCAGTAGCAGCAAGAAATGCACTAGTGTTCCTTCCTCTGCCTCGCCTGCTTCCCAGCCTAATTTTGGGGTACGGGGATAGGTCATTGATCGTCCATTAGGGTTTAAGGATTTCGGAAGGGTCCTATGCCCTTGTTCCCCTGCTAGTAATAGAACATGGGATCGTTCGTTCCCCGCAGGAGAGCACAGAAAGAGCCCCAGCGAGTGTGATAATCATCCTCTTATTATCATCCACACTCACTATCATCCATTATCTGTCATCCGTCCATTTATCGTCCATCTTCTTATTATCATCCATCTCCTTATTATTCTGCAAAACTGCTCAAGTTAGCATCATTGATGCTTCAAAATTGAGCTACCAATCTTAGTTTTTCAAATACTTATGACATATAATTTACCTTTTTGTGATGAAGTCTTGTAGCCTTTCTAGCTTTCAATTTTTAATATCCAAATAATACAAAATTAGTATATATATATATATATATATATATATATATAATTATTGTTAAGATGTACATGTGTCGTAAAGTGCAATTACAATTTATACAATAAATATTTTCATTTTAAAATTACACATAATGTATAGTTTTCTTTTTTCTTTCTTAAATTGGTAATTATCATAGCTTTGAACCTATGGCAATTTGAGTGCAATTATGTTTGAATAGCTCTTAAATTACAATGATGTCAAGAATAAGGCCGTGTCATTGTTTCCCATGTTTTTTTTATTATGAGTCTGCTTACTTTTGTGATTTATTCTATAATATTTTATTTTGGTTATGTCTTTTAAAATTCTATAAATTAAAGAGAAGAATAAGATAACTAAGTATTAATTAAAAATTATAGTAAAAAATCCATTTTTTTTATATTTACCAAGAAAATCGAATTGGATGATACACACATATATATATATATATATTTAAATCATCTTAAAACTTAAACCATCATATAAGTATTTTTTCTTAAATTTTTCATATTCTAGAAATATCAAAACTGAAATTTTGAAAAGTTATTATTATTATTATTGTAATATTTTGAAAATAATACAATCTTAGTTATAAACCATAAACTTCATGTATTTTTATCAAAACACACAAGTTGTGTCAATTTGCTGAGGTTAATGATGCCAATTGAGAATTTGTTCTAAGTAAATAAAACTGCAGTTCTTAATTTAAAGAAATTAAATGTTGTGAAGTAAAATATAGGTAAAATTAAAACATTCACAATTATCATTTCAACATATAGATTTATATTTATATACTACTTCTTATATCATTATTGTTTACCACTAATATTATTTGGCACACACTAATATTTATTTATATTTGTATGTTGTGTATGTTGTATAATTAGGTAAGTAGAGTAAGAAAAATTAATAGTAAACTTGAAAAAAATAATTTTTACATATATTTGTGCTAAAGACATACATATTTATCTTGATAATTATCTATATAATAAGAATAGGTAGAAGTAAGTCAAAGGAGATAAATATGATAGTATCTTGAAGAAAGCTTCTTAGAAGCTTCATAGACACTGTTTTGCCTTTATACATGTTTATAAGTGATTGGTAGGTTGAAAACTTGGCCAATAAGAAGGCCACATGTCGACATGTTTGACTACTTGTAATACAAGTTGGACATATGGCGCACACCTAGGAAACTTGCCTTACAAATTAGACATGTGTCCTACAAGTTGGATGCGTATTAGAGGTCCTATAGCATGTTGTCACATATTTCTTAGTTAAGTAGTATATATAGAGGTAAAAGTGAGGCCTTCTTCACTCTTATCAACTCCTTTCTTGCTTTTAGTCTAGTTTCAAGAGTCTTATGTTTTCTAGCCTTTTGCAATAGCCATTCTATTTCTTCTTTGAATATACATACTTTCTCCTATTTTGTCATTTTTTTTTTACACAGATTCTACAAGTTTATCCATCTTCTTCCAGTTTGTGTCTTTGCCAATTTGATCTTTCAAATATGGTCAATAGGTTTAAAATATGGTTTATGAAATCAACAAAATATGACTATTACAATAAGAAAAATCATTTTTAATCATAATAAAAGTATTAGGTATAGAATTGGAGCATTTTCATGATTCTAATCCTTTAATTTTTTTACGGTTTTTTTTTTTTAAAAAAAAACATTATTGCATTAAACTTAATGTCACGGACACAGAAATACAGACTCGAGATCTAACAAGAAGTTCAAGAAGAATTGGCAAGAACTAGATTAATCAGATGAATACAAGAACAACACCAGAGAGGTGAGCTAGAGCTCCAAGAGATGTGTTGTCGAGACTGAAGAACTCTTCAGCCTCGATTCCAATATATACTCCTATTTAGGAAGCTTCTCAAGCAACTTCTACCAACTAGGAAGCTTCTAGAAGGTTTCAGAGACTTGCTTCTAGAAGATTCTAGAAACTTGTCTCTAAAAGGTTCTAAGGACTATGTTCCTAACATCTTCTACCAACTAAGAAGCTTCTAGAAGGTTCCAGGGACTTGCTTCTAGAAGGTTCTAAAAACTTGTCTCTAGAAGGTTCTAAGGACTATGTCCCTAACAGTACCCCCTCCTTTAACTTTGAGGTCTCTGAGAAACAATATTGTTGTTAATCAGTACCAATTCAAGAAAATGAAGATCTGTTGCATAACGTCTGCTATGAACTCCAACTATTGTTCATGAGGCAAGTGGTTCATTGGCCCTTGAAGTCAATGGTAGTGGCCCACTCGTTTGACTTCTGATCAAGCATGAACTTTCGTGTCATCATTATGAAATTGTCTTGCAAAAATATCTTCTAGCTGACCATCGTAAGTAGGCTCGAACTCAAATACAATCACCAGTGATCGGTTACTCGGTATCCTCTGTCGTTGTCGTGGTGTAGGCAGTTCTTCGTCTCGGGGTCGCCTTTGTGAGCTAGTTGGTTGAGATAATCTAACTGGCATAGTATCTATCTCTTGGCTATCCATATCAGAAGACCAAACTATGGCTACTGAAAAAATTCTACTTTATCTTGGAAAAAATAACTATATCAACTGCAAATTTTGGTGGTGCTCTCCCCCTTTCTTATATTCTTGGGTGAGCAAGCTTTAGAAGAAAGCTATCGTCGAACCGACTTAGGTTTATGAGGATGTTGTTGATGAAACTCATGTACCTTTTGCCACACATTGGCGAGATTTTCAGCTGGCTCCCACGTTCGCTCATTAATATCGTAGCCGCACCAATGAACAAGATACTCCAACTTGCCCCACCTTCGCTGTGAATTCAGCACCTTTACAACCTCGTATTCCTCGTAGTTCTCAATCTCAATATCAGGTGGCAGACATTACACTCTTCCAAGAAAAGACGACTCTCGATAAGGCTCCAACAGATAAACATGAAAGACTGGATGTACCTTTATAGAAGCCGGTAATTCCAAACGGTACGCCACTGGATTGATTTGCTTTTGGATGATAAATGGTCCCAATCTTCGATAGTCCAACTTATTACATGGTCGCTTGGTCTTGATATTCCGTCGAAAAAGCCATGCTTTATCTCCAATTTTGAAAGTAGGTTCTTGATTTCGAAATCTATTTACAGACGCCTTATAGGATTCTTCAGTGGATTGTAATTGAAGCTTCAACGTATTTTGAAGCTCTGATAGTTGTTTTGTAAGTCCTTCAGCTGCTGGATTGTTATTTGTTGACGGACTCAATAAATCAAGCTTTGGATGATACCCATAGTTGGAAAAGAATGGTGTGTATTGAATCGACGCATGGAGGGTGTTTTTATATGCAAACTCAGCTAGCGGCAGATATGTGGTCCAATCGTCTTGCTGATAGTTGATGCTACATCGTAAGTATTGTTCCAAGTCTTGGTTCACCCGTTCCGTTTGGCCATCAGTTTGAGGATGAAAAGTCGAAGAAAGATTAATATCCACCTTCAGTATCTCAAAGAGAGATCTCCAAAACTTTGATACGAACTGGGTTCCTCGATCTGATACAATATCATCTGGTAGTCCATGATATTGATACACATTAACGAGAAAGAGCCTTGCTATGACTTCACTAGATGATATCTTCTTGCAAGGGACAAAGTGTGCCATCTTTGTAAGCCGATCTACCATGACAAAGATGCTGTCAAATGAGTTCGATGATGGCAGGTCCGTGATGAAGTCCATAGAAACTGAAGACCATGGTCGACGTGGAATCGGCAATGGCTGTAGGAGTCCATAAGGGCGATGCCGAGGATTCTTGAATCTTGAATAGATGTCGCAGGAGAGGACAAAATCTTTCACATCCTTCCACATTTGGAGCCACCAAAAATATTGAGAAATAAGCTCCAAGGTCTTGTTGAATCTAAAATGTCCCACAGCTAGAAAATCGTGGCGAGATTGAAGAACTCGGAGTCGTGCTAGTCCTTTTGGGATATACAACCACTCCTCAAAGTATAAAAGATCTCCTTCCACCTTGAACTTGTCGTCATTGGCACGTTATTTGATATCAATGGCTACTGAATCTTCAATGGTCGCAGCACGTATATGATTCAGGAAGTCAACATCAATTGGCACAATAGTAGCGCAAAGCCGAAATTACTCTAGCTTCAATAATGTCGCACATTGTTGATCAAACGCTGCTTCTCGAGCCTTTAGTATAAGATATGATCTCCTCGATAAGGCATCAGAAAGTCCTTGCTGCATTCCAAGTTGATAAGTGATAAGAAAATTGAACCTAGATAGCAACATACTCCATCGAGCTTGATGTCAATTTAGAACTCGAGTCGACATGAAATACTCCAAATTCTTGTGATCTGTGTATACGGTCACTGGGTGTGCAGCTCCTTGAAGAAAGTGACGCCATTCTTGGAAAGAATCTATTATAACAAGAAGTTCCTTATCATGGATCTCATAATTGATTTCAGTAGCAGAGAACTTTCGAGAATAGAATGCAACCGGATGGAGCTTCTTGTCTTCTCTCATTTGTGAAAGTACAACTTCCAAAGCAAAATCCGAAGCATCAGTTTCTAAATAAAAGGCCTTTGTAAAGTCTGGATGTACCAAGATTGGAGCCATAGTAAATGCGATCTTCAGATCTTGAAACGCCTTCTCTAGTAGAGGTCCCCATTCCAACTTATCCTTGTAAGTCTCTAACCATCTTTGGAACCTCCCAGGACACGATTACTTCCACCTTCTTGGGGTCCATCTTCAAGCCTTCAGTAGTCACAACGAACTCCAAAAACTCCATCTCTATTTGGTGAAATAAACACTTCTCCAACTTGGCCTATAGTCCTTGCTCGCATAGTTTCTCTAAGACCAAACGAACGTACTTTTCATGCTCTTCCTCATTTTTGGAGAATATCAAAATATCATCCAAATAGATGACAACAAAATCATCAAGGTGCTCTTGGAAAATGTCATTCATCATATGTTGAAAGACCGCAGGAGCATTGGTAAGACCAAAGGGCATGACCTTATACTCAAAATGGCCATAGCTTGTACGAAATGTTGTCTTCCACTCATCTCCTTCCTTGATTCGTACGAGGTTGTAAGCTCCCCTTAGATCAATTTTTGTAAAGTTCCTTGCATGTCCAAGTTATTCTAATAGACGAGAAATCAAGGATAACGGGTAACGATTCTTCTTTGTTACCTTATTGAGGCCTCTATAGTCCACGCACATCCGCAATGAGCCATCTTTCTTCTTCACAAATAAGATGGATGCTCCAGTTGATGATTTTGAATGACGGATGAAGTTCTTGGCTAAATTCTCGTCGATGTACTTCCGTAACTCCGCCAACTCCGTCTGTGATAGATTGAAGATTGGGCCAAAAGACGGTTGTGCTCCTCCTGTAAGTCTATGGCCCAATCATATGGTCTGTGTTCCGATAGCATGTCGACATTTTTCTTTTGAAACACGTCTTTAAAATCCTTATATTGCTCCGGTATACTTGTTGTCGAGATCTTCTCCCCGGTAGTTGGAGCCGCATAAATGACAAATGGTGTGCGTTCCTTGGATGATCTTATAAATGCTCTTGCTCCAATGAATAGGGATTCCTCTATTCGAGGTTTTCTACTAGGCTTGCCTCTGGGTGGTTTTGTGGGAAAGGTCATCTTTCGAAACTTCCAATCTATGAATGAGTTATGCTTTTCCAACCAAGAAAGACCAAGAATAACAGGATTTGATGGGGTTCTAATAATATTGAAAATAGTATGACTACTATGGCCCTTAAACGTCACTTTTATAGGTTCTGATTCATGGGTGACACTTCCAGACAATAAAGGTCGCCCATCTATGACCTCAACGTGAACAGGTTTGGATTTTTTTATTAAAGGGATCTTATGATGCTTTGTAAATTCTTCATCTAAGAAACAAGCAGATGCTCTTGAATGTAATAATGCTAAGGTTCTCAATTTTTGAGGGCCAATAAGCAAAGGGATTGTAAAGCAAAGGGCAGGTTGAATGGAAAGAAAGGAACTTGGTTGTTATTGTGATATTTCACTATCCAGCTGCACGGTTCCTATTGTGGCTGGGCATCCTCGTTTTCCTGAATAAACGTGCCCCTAGTCTTGACACTACGTCGATTTTGCTTCTTGGAGCAGTTTCCAACTTTGTGGCCTTCTTCACCGCAATACAAGCATAGACCTTCCTCCATATGCCCCTTTTTTTCTTCTAAAGTAAGAGATTTGACACGTACCGCATCAATTTGCATGTCTTCTACCTCTGAATGTGAATTAACGCTGCTTGTGGATATAGTTGGGGCGTGGCGAACCGTAAGTTGTCTTGAACGTTGGTCTTAGCGGCGTTGGAATAGGTGATTATCGCACTTCACAGCTTGGCTAATAGCTTTGTTGAGCATTTGTGGATCAAGAAGAGTTAACAACAAATCCTTCGCATCATCCCTTAAATTCCAATAGAATTGACTCATCAACGCTTCTTTGTCGCAATTGATGTGGCATGCTAATTGCCTGAAGTCCGATGCATAGACTAATGTAGAGCGCATCCCTTGTCGTAGCAACCGGATCTTTGATGTAGTCCATCGAACCTTGTCGTGTTCACCAAATGCTTCCGCAAACGCCTCCAAAAAGGTTTCAAAGTTGTTTAGTATGGACGATGGTTTCTTAAACAAAGGAGCAAACCATGATAGAGCTTGTCTTGTAACTAAGGTTCCAACAAGCCCAACACTTGACTCCTCCGTTGGATAGCGTTCGGGTTGTAAAACTGTTATCAATCTGATTTGGTTGATGAATCCTCGAAACTTGAAACGCGTACCATCAAACTTATCTGGAAGGCTAACTCGGGGCTCTTTATGTTATAGAACCAACGGTGCTTGTTGAACCTGAGGTAAAGTTTCTTCTCTAAACGTAGAAGTTTGAGGCTGGTGCAACTTAGTTTGTGCCATCTCAGACGCTCCATCATTATGAAGCTTTGCCATGACTCCTTCAATCTCTGTAGTTCTTTGCGATAATGTAGCGAGGGCATTCATGATAGCATCCAACTTGGACTCCGAACTTTCCATCATACTAATGTCTTGGCCCCTGACCATTCTAAGAGAAGGATAGAAATGACTGTACAAGAAGACAATATTGGTTTAGAGGAGGGTACTCCGCAACCTCTAAAATGCCTTAAGAGCTTCAAGAAAAGGGGTAATCCACTCTCTCCAAGAAGAATAAGACTCCAATATTATAACAAAAGAAGTATCAGTTTAGAGGAGGGTAATCCGCAACCTCTAAAATGCTAGTATACTTCTAAGTAGAGGGGTAATCCACACTCTAACAAAGAAGAAACTAGCTCTAATATTTGAGGTGAGCGAAGTCTCGACAAGCTGTCACGGACACAGAAATACAAACTCGAGATCTAACAAGAAGTTCAAGAGGAACTGACAAGAACTAGATTAATCAGATGAGAACAACACCAGAGAGGTGAGCTAGAGCTCCAAGAAATGTGTTGTCGAGACTAAAGAACTCTTCAGCCTTGATTCCAATATATACTCCTATTTAGGAAGCTTCTCAAACAACTTCTACCAACTAAGAAGTTTCTAGAAGGTTCCAAAGACTTGCTTCTAGAAGGTTCTAGAAACTTATCTCTAGAAGGTTCTAAGGACTATGTCCCTAACATCTTCTACCAACTAAGAAGCTTCTAGAAGATTCTAGAGACTTGCTTCTAGAAGGTTCTAAAGATTATGTCCCTAATACTTAATACATTTTAAAAATAATTATATCAAATATAAGGACAAGATGATTAAGTCACTATAATTTTGAGTATGTCACAAATATTATATATATATATATATATATATATATATACATATATATATTTAAAAAATAATAGAAAAATAAGGTTATATATATATATATATATATTTATCAAAGGGTTAAAAAAGCCTAAATTTCACATTTTGATTTTATGAAGTTATGTCTAATCTTCAATTCTTATGAATAATTTTAACACACATATATATATATATATATATATATATATATATGATGGAAATTTTATTAAAAAAATATCATTAAATAGACATTTAAGAGTATTTTTGTGCTACAATTAAAATTATGTCATGAATATTATAATAATAATAATAATAGTATGACGCATGTTTTTTATTATACACATACAAGCAAATAAAAAAATTAAACTAAAATTATAGTAAATTGATTGAATAAGGTTTGTGGTTTTAATTATTTACTCAAAAGTAGAGTTATTTATTGCTTATTTATTCAATAAACATTGCCATATTTTATATGGTCCTATAGTTGTGCTCATGACAATCTAGTTCAGTATGATGAAAATAAAAAAGAAATAAGAGTTTTGTTTTGGATATTGATAAAACATTTATTTATCACTACCCAAAACATGTTGATGCACATTCTATATTGCAATGTGATTCATAAGAGAAGACAAATTACAGAGCTGATTGGATAATTAAACTTTACTTTTTAGACTGTATCTCTTATTCGAATGTTTCATTTAAATGTAGGTGTCGACACGGTTATGCATGAATATAGTGTTGGCCGAGTGTAGGCGGTGGTTTTGTTGGGGACAACAGTGTTTGTGTGTGTGTGTGTGGAGTGAAGTTAAGGGAGGGAGAGAGGGAAGCAGGGTGGGAGAATAGCTTCCTCAGCAGCATGGATGGAACAAGGAGAGGGGGGCATTCATGTTTTGAACGTGTGAAAAAGCAAAAGCACACGACACAAGGAAGGAAAGAAAGAAAAGGAAAAGGAAAAGAAGAGAGGCAGAGGAGGAAGCAGCTCGGACTCTGGATTAGGGTTGGGAACGCGGGACTCAATCCTTCTTTCTGTGTGCGCATGTGTGTATTCCTCTGTGCCTCTCTCTGCCTTCTCGTCCTCCATTGTCCCTCCCGCCCCGCAGCTCCACGGCCCCCCAACGGGTGGGTCTGTTCCTCCTTGGGGCCAACGGGTGGTTCAGGTCAGTGCTGCGCCTATCCTTTCTCTCCTTCCTTTCCCTCGCGAAGCATGCGTGGAGGCTAGAACGGTTCCTCTTCAACAATTTCTGGAGGTATGGAGGCACCCCCTCGCAAGCGGGGGCGACCGCCCAAGCATCCTAAAGTCGCCTCCAACGACTCTCCCAAGTCCCGTGCCAACTCCGCTTTCAATTCTGTCAAGTCTCCCTCCGCTTCTTCCCCTGCTGATGTAGAGATGGTGGACCGCGGTGTGGCCACTGTCGATTCAAAGTCGGTTCAGCGGGGCCGAAAGAAGTCCGCGGGGGACAAGGTGGAAGGGGCCGCTTCTGTCAAACCTAGTGGAGGAGGAGGAAGTCCCAGTGACCGGGAGCTGTCCAAGTCGGAGGCGGACGACGTTGAGTTGCTCCCCGAGAAATTGTCTAGCAGAAGAAATAAGAAGCAATCCCTGGTACATTAACACATCTCTTGCTTATCAATCTTCTACTCTTGGTCGTTCCATTCCCAACTTTTCGTGTTTGCCGTGGTCGAATTTGGCTTCGAAATTGTGGTATTTTTAAGAACAGGTAATTTCTCTGGATTTCCCTGACAGTGCGTCAGACTTTACGGTCATATGTGTAATGCCGTATAAACCTGCGTTCCTTCCAACATTTTCCCTTAATCGCTCTGAGTAATGCAATTTAATGGCCTTTTCGAAGAATGTGAGCGCATTCTTATGCACCGTGATTGAGGGTTTTGACAACGCATACTGCGTCAAGGGTTTAGGGTTTTAATCTCTGCGTGTGATGGTTGTGAACTTGGAGTTGCATCTTTCAAGGAACCTTCATTCCATTGTTTGATTTGCAACCTGAATCTGCAATTGTGTATCATTGTAGACCGAGAATGAAAATATCGTGGGTCATGAACATGTCCTCATTATTCTACCAAAGATATCAAGCTGGCAAAAATTTAAGGTGTAAAATCAGGAGCCCCCATTGTCATTGCTGCTTATGAACGTCACAGATGACTACGACAGCGATTGTAGAGATTTGCACTGAGACACAGAATTAGTATTCTCTTACAATTGAAAGCACCTTCCAATTTGCCAAAATGTTCGCAGTACGGAAGGATAAAGCTAGAGGGTTGTGTATGTTCGAAGTGTGTGTAGGGCTAACAAAAGTGTATACTGTGATATTGGCAGGCAAACCCAGGTTTGTTTTCAAACGACAACACCAGGGGACATGCCCCCTTGTTCGAGGACGGAACAGTCGGAAGCGAAGACGTGAAAGATGCACCTTTCATGGATGCTGTTGTGAAAGTATTTTGCGTGCATACGGAGCCCAATTTTTCACTTCCGTGGCAGAGAAAACGCCAATTTAGTTCGAACAGCAGTGGTTTTATCATCAAGGACCGTCGGGTTTTAACTAATGCGCATTCGGTGGAGCACCATACGCAAGTGAAGGTAAAGAAACGTGGCTCGGATACCAAGTACCTGGCCACGGTTCTTGCGATTGGTACCGAATGCGACATAGGTCAGTTTTTGCCTTCTCTACGAGCTCTACAATGAACCAATTTTGGCATGTGAAATAGCAGTCGTACCTATGTTGTGCACATCATGATGAACGCGTGTTGACGATTGTGAATCGTTATTCAGGGTTTACACGTGTTCGTATAGGATTGCAGCAGCAGTTTATTGGCTCTTTGCGACGCTTCGGACCTTGATACGTAGTGCTTTAAAATTTTCATGTCTTCTTGTCTATACACTTACTGGGGGGAGTTGGGCCTCCTGCTCTCATTGCTGGATGATCCTGATGAGCAGAAATAAGCTCCTCATCAGCACATGATGCCAGTTTCTTTGATATTGTGGAGTCAAGATATGTGTAAGAGAGAGTCAAAAGTGATAGATTTGTGTTTTGAACTGGGCTCCTGTGTGTACAGCTATGCTGACAGTGAGCAATGACGAGTTTTGGGAGGATGTGACGCCTGTGGACTTTGGATCTTTGCCTCGTCTGCAAGATGCGGTGACTGTAGTAGGCTATCCCATAGGCGGTGACACTATCTCGGTGACTAGTGGAGTGGTTTCACGCATTGAAGTTACATCATATGTTCATGGTGCGACAGAACTCCTTGGTGTGCAGGTTAGTCGTATTACCCTCGAATACGCATTGTCACAAGGTCGGAATTATTTACCCTCATTAATAGATTCTTGGTATTTCCACTTGAGCATCGGACTGTAGCTTGATTTTCTGATTACTGTTATTGCTCCTTCCAAGGCAGTAACAACCAGTTGCAGGCTGTTTTTTTTAATAAAGTAGGTATCTTTGTGAATGGCCTAGCTTCGGTGGACCGTTTAGTCTCGTTTATCTTCAGTATCGGGAAGTTTACTCTCTCTTGTCTTCGTACCTTTTGAGGTGCAAGGGTGTTCTGCGTCGTGTCGTTTAGTCTCCGTAGGGGTTGTGATGCATTCTATGCCTACTGTCCGCAGTTTCCTAGATGCTTGTTAGTGATAGCTCAGCACCATGTCTCACAGCAAATGCTGGTCATGCAATCTCGTTTTATTTTATGATTTTATTGTTCTCTCATGGACTTTGTGGGGAACTGTTCTTGGCTTAGCTGCTTTCGTGGTTAAATCGCAGATTGATGCTGCCATTAATGCTGGCAACTCTGGAGGCCCTGCTTTCAACGACAGAGGTGAATGTGTGGGAATCGCCTTTCAGTCCCTGAAGCACGAGGATGCTGAGAACATCGGATATGTTATACCCACCCCTGTTATTACTCACTTTATTACTGATTACGTCCGCAGCGGTGACTATACAGGTACGAGTATCCACTTTGGCGTTTACGCGTGGTGTGACATAAATTGGAATGTAGTTTTTGTGAGTGCAGGGCCATTGTGTTCTTTTGTTTCAACTCACCATGCTTGCCTCCGCAAACCTGAATGTTATAGTGAGGTTCTACAAGCTTGGGCTCCCCGATCTGGGCTGGTTTTATGATAGTTGCCCCACTACAGCGCGTACTTGTGAACTATGCAGGATTCCCCATTTTAGGTATTGAATGGCAAAAGATGGAAAATCCTGATCTCCGGAAGGCGCTGGGAATGAAGGGCATCCAGAAAGGCGTTCGTATACGACGTGTTGAGCCCACTGCACCTGCATATAAGTATTTGCAAGCTTCTGACATCCTTTTGAGTTTCGATGCCGAAGATATCGCAAACGATGGAACTGGTACAAACCCTTCGCTAAACGTCATTAAATCGTTAATGCATTCCTAAGTTCGGTGAGCCGT